CTGGCGCTGGCGGCGCGGGGAGGGCTGCTGGCAGTAAGTGGCTCCCTGTAGCCTACTTGACTCTAGGCCCAAATCTGGTGTCTCAGTGGGCCTGTTACATTAAGCAGGCCCAAGTGGTAGGAGATTTAAAGCATCAAAATGAAGTGCTTTATCGCTGCGTGCTGAGTTCTTGGCTGCTTTCGTTGGCCGCGCTTCACAAGCTTTCTTCACAGGCTTCCTCGCCCGCGAGCAGAGGCCTCTCGGCAGGCCCATTACAAATTCCACTTGTTGACGGTTGCCTTGTTGCAGGATTTAATGGTAGAATAATATTTACACAGTAAACTCCTCTGGAGGTGTTATAAACACCATAAAAAGGATTTTAGAAGCTTAATGAGCGTTAGTGAAGTCGAGACAGGATAATGTGGCAACTGTGCGCTGTAATCTGATTTGGCACCTTCTGCACAGCAGGAGTTAGTGGGTGGAAGAGCTTTTTAGGTTTTTTTGTTGTTGTTTTTAGTGTGTAATATTATTTGTTCAGCATGGTGCTAAATACAGGATCCTGCACGAGGCCTCCGCAGAGCCGCCAAACCTGCGCGCCGGGCCGCTCGGCTCCGCGACAAGAGGGACCCTGCGCCGGCGGGGCCGGCTTCAGGGGCTGCCGGCGGGGGTTTGCACAACAATAACAATGTGAGATTTCATTTTTTAGTCAGCTGCTCTAGTGGAAGCCTATAAGAATTCACACTGAACTGTGAGTATCAATCCTGGCTTTTAACCTTATGTTTAAAGTAAATAGTAATAGTTAGCTGAGCCTACTGAGCTATATTTATCCCTAATGAGGTCTGGGTAAGCTCAACGGGTTATACCAAGGATGAATTTGACCAATTTTACTTTGGTTTTTAAAAAAGTCTAACGCAGTGTACACCAACTCAGCAAGTTTAAAATTGTATTCTGTTCCCAAATAGAATTGCTGGCAATAAAATTAGTACAATTTTAATCATTCTTATCATACTTTGATGCCCAGGGATGTTTTGTATCTTAGTCCTTTTTTACTTCTTCTTTTTTTTTTTTTTTTTTTTTTTTAAGGGAGCGAAAAACCCTGAAAACGAGGAACGACTCTCAGCTGTAGAAGTGCCAACGAAGCAGGTGGTCGAGGAGTGACCTTGCCGGTGCCGGGCACCTGTGCTCCTGCCTGGTCCCTGCCGTGTCTCCTCCGCATGGGGACGGCGCTGCGGAGAGCCTGCTGTCGCTCCCCTCTAGTCCTCGGGCCCTCGCTGCAGCCAGGTATTTTCTGGTATCTTTTTAATATTATATTCACATTTCTTTGTTATCCTGGCTGAAAGTGCTCTTCTCTATTCTTCTTCTCTAGTCCTGTATATGCATATATATACACATATGCACACATGCATACGTATATCTGGACTATTTTGGGATCTTCTTGCAAACCAGCCCCATGTGTTAGGTTATTCATACACAGATATTTTGGAGCTCTGTTTTGGAGAGGAGGAGAGGCGCAGATTTCTCTATATGTGGCTTTCTGTATTTTTCTGTGCGTAGCGGACACTTTTCCCAAGGAAGAATGAGACTGACTCTCGTGCCATGGTAATTCTGAGTTGCCCTTCTGAGACCAGGGATAACTTTTGCTACAGGAAAGGCCAGTTTTTTGAAAGGAAAATTGCTGTGGGAATACTTGAATTTCAGTAAAATGCTGCTTACCAAAATGTGTCTTTTAAAAAATATTTTCATTTTTATGGTGTGAGAATTTAGATTCTTTTCATTTTGTATAAATATAAAATAAAATATAAATACATTGAAAATTCAGTATAAAAAAATTAAATCTATTTCACACATACTTTTGAAAATCTGTGTGTTATTTCATTTTAGAATAC